GTTTGTTTGGCTGCGGCTGGGGTGGATGTGGTGTGGCCAGAATCTTAAAGGGGAGAGAAGAGGTAGGAGGCCGCCGGCCGCCGGCGCGTCTGCCGGTTCTGGCCTCGGCGGCAAGGGGTTTTGGCGGTAGGGTGGCCGGAATGGGCTGGTGGCAGCAGGTTTTGTTTTTTTTTTAAATTATTTTTTTATTATTTTTTTTATTTTTTGGTTTTTATTTTTTTTTATTTGATAATTAATTAAATAATTTAGAAAGGAACCAATCACAAGCTGTTACGTGGCATAATTAGCCTTAATGACTAACGGTGTTAATGTCCGTTAGTCATTAAAGGCATGTTGTGACATTTACCAAAAACTCAGTGGTATTTGGTGTATTAGAAAATTTTGTGTGGTATATGGTGAATTACGAAATAACTCAGTGCTATACGGTGAAAAATCCGTAAAATAAAATTGAAACGTTTAAAGGAAAGTGTATTTTATGAAAGTTTGTACGCAGTAATTTTTCTTGTGAAGGGACTTGTAAAAAAGTGGATTGATACGAGAAAAGTGGAGACTTGTTAATCATCGCCCGCATTTTTCTACTTAAAGCCCACATTTTGTAAAATTTTGACAAATTTGCCCTTATTCTAATTTTAACCGAAAATAAAATTTTCCCGGTTTTTTTTTAAAAAAAGAAAGTAGTTGTAAGGAGATAAGTTTATTACTCTCGTACATAGGAATAGAAGTGAGGTATGGTTCAAGTGGTTAGGGATCCTTTCCCGGTTTCAAGAGATCTTAGGATCGATTCTCATCACCCGCCATTGTGGCTCTTTAAACACCAAAAAAAGTGGATTGATACGAGAAAAGAAGGGACTTGTTATTCATCGCCCGCATTTTTCTACTTAAAGCCCACATTTTGTAAAATTTTGACAAATTTGCCCTTATTCTAATTTTAACCGAAAACAAAATTTTCTCTCACCAAAAATATGGAGCAACACTGAATCGTCGAGGGACACCGAAGAGCCGTCATCGTCGGCGATATGCACCGGAGAGCCGCCGTCGTCGCCGGAAAACGAGGTACGTAGCCTATTTAAAGTACGAAATGGTGGCTGGCGTTAAGCCGGGAAGCCGCTGCCGTGGGTGGGGCGCCTGGCCAAGACGCCGCCACCGTGGCGGTGGCGTCTGGTAGGGTTGCCAACCCCATGGCAGTGGCGTTTGGCCAGGATGCCGGAACCACGGCTGGGCGCCTGGCCAGGACGCCGCCGCCATGGAACGGCGTCCCGGTGATGGCGTCCCGCCCAGACGCCACTCCTAAGTGGCGCGCCCGCGCTTCTTTGTTTTTTTTGTTAATATATGTTTTAGTTTGACATTACGTGTTAGTTTTGTGTTAATTATGTGTAAATTTAGACATTAAATGTATTATGCGTTAAATATGGAAATGATATTTAAAAATTGCTTTTGTGTTAATTATGTGTCAAATGTATTATTTTAATCCTTATGTAATTATATTTATATGTTATTGTTACAGGATTATGGTGGAGACGGAAATGATTATAGTGACATTTTTGTACATGATGGTCTGTTCGAAGATGCTCAACAAGCGATTGATTGGGCAAAACAGGTTGTAATTAGATCAGGTTTTTATTTAGTAGTAGCAAGTCATAAATCTCAACGGGATGGTAGAATGGATCGCATTTTGAGATGCGACCGTTATCGCAAAAAGGAGGAACGAGATTTCAGTCAAGCGATTCGGTTTGATACAAAGCGGAAAGGTTGTGGGTGTCAGTTCAGAGTAAAGGTTCGACAACAGCAAAGGCGTGACGCTTGGGAAGTGAAGGGTTACGGTAAATGGGGGTATCACAGCCATGAGATGATAGTATATGAAGTGGGGCATCGACAGTTAAGCGGCCTAAGTCTTGCTGCGAAACTAGTTGTAAAGGAAATGAGTGATGCTCAAGCGAAGCCTGCTAAAATATTGTTATTGCCATTCCATTTCCATTTATTTATTTTTCCCGTGTACACCTACCTTTTCTATGTGACCTTGTATTTTTATTGCTATTCCATTTCCATTTATTTATTTTTCGTATTCTAATTTATATCTTGCATGCACACTAATTAGAACTTGCGCGTTACAAACTAAAAAGATAATGTCAAATTTTAAAAACTTAAAATAATAATTTCAAATATTATAAACTAAAAAGATAATGTCAACTTTTACAAACAACTATGATAATGTACAAAATGTTATATAAATGCACTGCCCAGAATAGTGCACCCGTTCTCAAAATAGTGCACCCGTTCTCTGTGAGCCGAAGCCGAAATACCACGGGATCTAACGTGTCTGGGCCTCGAGCTCTCCATTGAGTAGATTGTACTTCTCATAATGTACAAAAACATTAAAATATAAACAACAAACAAAAAAATGAAAAAGATAAACAAAAACAAAAATAAAAAATACAAAGAAAAAACCAAAAAAACAAAAAAAGAATAACGAAAAAACTTCAAACAACACCATAATAAAAAATAAATATAATAATAACTTAAAAAATAAACAAAAAAAATAAAAATGGAAAAAAAATTTCAAAAAAAAATTCAAAAAAAACTGGAAAAAAATAATGAAAAAAAACAAATATAAAATATTTTTAAAAAAAATAAAAAAATTAGGAGATGGCGCCGGGGTAAGGCGCCGCCACCGTCTCCGGGTTTTTTTTTTTTTTAAAAAAAAATAAATTAAAAAGTACCTTTCCGCCGCCAACCGCCTTCCTCCCGCCACCGGTGCCGTCACTTCCTTGCCTTGCCGCCTCAACATCGCTCGTAAAAAATTTTAGAGGGAGAAAGTGAAAGTAGAGAGTAGAGAGAAGATGAGAGTGTGTTTTTTACTTTGAGGGCAAAATTGTCATTTTATTTCAAATTTGTGGGCTTTAGGTAGAGATTTGCGGGCAATGTTTAGCAGTTCACGAAATGAAACCGTGAACATGATATAATATATCATTATATCGTGACATTGCTACAAAAATTATACTCCTTATATAATCATATAATTAAGTTACTATAATAATATTACTTTTTTTCGAAGGAAATATAGTGATCAATTAATTAAGGGATAAAATGTCTAAGAGTATATACAAAGAGAAATTTTCTCGATACAAAAATTTTCCAAACTTTTAAATTTTCGAACAGCACTTAGTCCAGCGAAGCGGTGAGCTAAATAACAACTCTCCCTTTTAACATAAAAGCACAAGATAAAAATCAAAGTAAAAATTTAGAGCCGCTCCAAGTCCAAAAGCCTATCCAGTTTGAGAAGAAAATATCATCTTAAATGTTATCGAGGTCTTTGAAGAAAGTAAAAGCTTTGTCGAGAATCGAGACAATCCATAGTAAGGAGATGAAGGCACCATAGTGAGTAGAGGTGGCCCTCATTAGGGAGTTATCATGTATTCCGTTCACTTTACTATCCAACTCCAGTATCACTTGTTAAATATTTCGTTAGCACATTGATACACTCGGCAATGTCGGGAGATACGAACTTTACTGATGAATAATCCAATGAAAATCTCATACATTTATATTATTATTTCTAAGGAAAATGCGTTTTTACTAAAAAATTACGGAAAAATATAACACAAATTTGACATACTAAAATTTCAATTATTTATTAATTCCACACTCTTACTAGCTCAATACATGTACCCTATTCCCTTAAATTTTGTCCAAAATTGAACAAAATGTATAAACTAATTATATAAAATATAAATTAAAGGTTAAAGTTATACGAAGTATAAATTAAAGCTTTAAAACAAATTATAAATTTAAGCTAAAGACTATACACAAACACCAAAAGATTATTGCAATATATAATTTAATTCATTATAACTAATCACATATACTTTGCAAGAATTGCAACATAAGATATGCACTACAAGAAAATTACAATGATAATACCTAAGGGTTTTTTTTCCATTGAATTGATATAACTTTTATTTGTAGGAAGAAATTCACGAAGTAATAGAAGAAAATTATTGTCACGCCCAAGAAAATATAGCATTTCCTTGGAACAAAATCCCCAAAAAAAAATACAAAAAAAAAAAGAAGCAGCAGATTTTAAATAAACGAAAGAGAAAATCTAAGAGACCAGCTATCAATAGCAACAGGTCTTTTCAATTTTTAAGATTGTACAAGTACATATTACCGCTAGAAGCCTAGAATGTAGTTAAGACATGCAGCACTAAAGAGACCAGTTATACGATAACAGGTCTCTTTCAATTTCGATTGTACAGCACGCTGGATTGTTATAAACTGATAATGACAGTACCTAAGAGACCCATTATTTGAATTATTGTCTCTTTTTACAACAGATTTTTTTTTTGTTTGTGGGAATGGGGGTACAGCTGTACCTCTGTGTACCCCTCGATCCGCCACTGGTATTTGTTTGAATAATTGCAATTTTTTTTTAAAAAAAATCAATTATGATAAATGATAATTAGTGCAAAAAAAAAGGTTGTTAAATACCGCTCTCAAATCTCCGAGTAACGCCCACAAAATAAATTTACGAACTTACCCTTATTTATAAACAAAAACTACCATCTCCAATCACTTTCACCGCCACCTATTTCACTCCACTCCATAAACAGAGAAGACCACTATCAAGAGGCATATCAATTGTTTTTTCCACTTTTATGACAAAATTGCTTGTTTTTCCTCGTAACAAATCAGAGCTTTGTTTAAAATCAAGCCCATAACAAGAAAATTGCATAAAATTACCAAAATTAAAAGGAAGATTGAAATGGAGCCCTATTTCTATTCAATTTGAAATTGCCAATGAATATTGAAATTGAACCACCACCACCTCCCTTTACATACAAATCACCACAACCCACACCACAAAAACATCCCGAAGTTTAGATCTACGGATCACCATCACACGAAAATGCCGAGGAAGGACAGGGGAAGGCTGTCGTGGACGATGTCGGCGCATCAAAGGTACTCTATCGGAGTAAATTTTTTTTTTTTCTTGAAATGGGTAGAAACACCCAATTTTTTCGAAATCTATGGGTGAAAACGCCCAGAATTTTCGAATCTTCGAAAGAGGATCGTAATTTCTAGGCATTTCATGTGGAATCGCCCAAATATTTCGAACCGCCGTCCAAGAATCGAAATTTCTGGGCGTTTCCTTCTCGGCTGTGCGAAAACAATGGGCATTTTTGCCCAGAATGTAATTTTTGTATACATCCAAAATTTATGTTATTTTGTAGTTTTATAGGCAAAATTCTATACGAAGTGTCTACAAATTATTGTTATGAAAAGATTAGCAAGACCATTCTATTTTACTATAATGGTGACTTGTTCTTAAGATTAAGGATAAATATCTTTGCCAAAATTTGCAAAAATCAGAAGGGAAACCATGAAACTAGGAGAGAAATCAGAGAATATATAAACCTAGTCACTGAAGAGTAGTATTTCCTTCACTCGATGTAATAATAAGATCATGTTGTTGACTTGTAAACCATCATACTCATAGAAGCTTATCAATTATTCCTAAAATTATATTTATGAACTTGTGCGTGATGCAAAATCAGCAAATTATGAATCAACCTCATGTATAGCTTTGATTATTCATCGATAGTTAAAATATTTGAGGTAAATTTAATTGGTTTATAACAAGGGTAGGAACGTATTTTTAAGTTATAAATGTGGGCGTTGGTTGGAGATTTGAGGACGACGCGTTTTAAAAAAAAATTCTTCAAAAAAAAAAAAAAAATTAGTGTAAAAAAACCCGATTTGTATTGAAACAAATATCCAGTAACCCGTACCCGACTAAAAGAAAAGGTCTTGAGAATGAACGAAGCCTCCCTATATAATCTCCCAAAACAGAAGTTTCGAAATTTCCTCCATTAAATTAAAGCTTCAATTTTTCAATCTTTAATCTCTTTTTCTTGCTCCTCAAATTAGTTACTGAACCTTTACTTTGAGAAAATTTGATTGGTATTTTCGGGTTTCCCCAAATTCTTGTATTTATTAGGGTTAGGGTTTGGGAGAAATTAAACAATGGCTGCCGTCGAACAAATTACTGAGGGCGTAAACAATTTGAGCGTTGTCGATTCTGGAAAGAAGAATCGAATTCAAGTTTCCAACACCAAAAAACCCCTTTTCTTCTACGTTAATCTCGCCAAGGTAATTGTTTTCGCCTTCAGAATTACTTTTTTTTTTTTAAAAAAGAAAATTATAATTTGGGATTTTTTTTTTTGATGTTGATGTTTGATGATGTTTTTGCAGAGGTATATGCAGCAACACAATGAGGTTGAGCTTTCTGCTTTGGGAATGGGTAATTTTCCCTCTTTCTATAATTTTTGATTTTTTTTCTGGCAAATGTAATGTAGCTGGATGTTTAGGGTGTGTTTGATTTAATTTGTAATACATTGCATTTTTTGATTGATTGTGATTTGTACTTGATGATTTATTTGGTGGGTTGGTAAAATATTGTGTTAAAAAGATATAATCAGGGCTTAATTCATCTGTAAATTGAAATTAGCTCAAGATACTTGCTTTAGAGTAGGTGTCAAATTATTTTTGGTAGTCCTTTAAAATTTATAATTAAGTGTTTAAAATTCAAGTGATGGGAGCTTGAGTTTTGGAATTTCCTCTCCTCGTCCCCCAATCTACGAGGTACACTGAATGATGTTTGCTTGTGGATATAGCTTTAATGTGAAATGTAATTATCCTTAATTGTAATATATTTCAGATATAATCCTTGGTATGAATTCTTCTCAATTAGATTGGGTTCTTTGCAAATCAGTATGATGCTCTTCTTCTTGATGTCTCTTCATTCACACAGAAGTGTTATCATACATTGTTATTAATCTATGTTCTGTACCATGTCCTGAGTCAAGTGCTATCGTTGTGTTTATTGTACCAAATTTCTTTCAGAAATAGGAATTTCTGTTGGTATGGAGACTCAAATGAATTGTATTTTCAGTCTTCTGTTGGAAGTGTCATCAGTAAAAACTTATTGTTTTCAAGTTGCTTGGCTGATTTGATATGTAAAGTTCTCTACTGATGAATGTCCTCATCTATAAAGTAAGTGGCCTTCATAGTCCATTGTTTTACCTTGAGAGTTGGGATATTGTTTTGATTGGTAGCGAATGGAGCATGCCTTTTTTTTTTTTTTTTTTTTTTTTGGTGCTTCAGATAGTCATGAATATCCCTTGCTCTTGTTTTCATGATTTTTCTATGTGATGTTTGAGATAGTGAACTTCTTAGGTGCTGTAGGGGACTACCGATGTGGTTTCTTTATTGTAGCATAAGCGACACAATATTTCTCTGTATTGCTGATATAATTTTATTAAATCACATCTGCATTTACTGATTACTTGCTCTACTAGATATTGAGTTTGGTTGGCACCATATTTTTGTTTGGGGAGGGTTGGGAGGTGGGGGTGGAGTGAAGCAAAGCCTTTCATGTAGAAAGATCCTGTTTCTCCTCTTTGTTTGTTCATGCAATCTTTGACTGACTCATTGTGTAGCTTTTTCTAGGAATATGATGGTTATATAGTTCAGGCTAGTGAGCTTGCATTATCATTGACTATCAGGTTCTCTTTCCTAGGGTGCTTAACTTACAAAACTGTTTTGATTGAATTTTTATATCTGATATCCGTGTTTCCTTGTTGGTGTTTGTTGCTTTGACTATTTCTACCATTCTTTTTGTTAAATAAAATTTGCAGCTATTGCTACAGTTGTAAGTGTTGCAGAAATTCTCAAAAATGGTGGGCTGGCTGTTGAGAAGAGTAAGAACTTTCTTTCTTTTGTTGAGAGCTGATGTTATACACATGTTTTAGCTCATGATAATCTAGATTGGTTGATTTGCAGAGATCATGACATCTACTGTTGATATAAAGGATGATTCGAGAGGTCGTCCAGTACAGAAGGCAAAGGTATGCCTGGTTTATGCTAGCCTTCTTTTCTATGAACTATATTCCTTTCATATGCATTGTTGTGCATGAACTCAAATTTTTTGGTCCTGTTGAACTAAGGGCTTGTTTCACCAAACTCCTTTTGTCCCCTTTATAAATTTAAGCTTATCTTAACATAATTGGCTCCGTTCATTACTCTGTATTTATTTTTTGCTTAGAACTGAATATGATAGACATTATTTGAACTTATAATGCTTTAAACTCATTTTATTGAGACGAAAAGAAAAAGGCCTAATCATAGCTTGTACTCTGATTTTCTGATGATTGTGGGTGTCTCTGTTTTTCAGATAGAGATTTTACTGGAGAAGTCAGAGGACTTCGACGAAATCATGGCAGCTGCTGCTGAGGAAGCCGAGGTTGCTGCTGTTGAAGAGCAGAGTTGAAGCAGAGGTTTTTCTTGTTTCATAGGGATTTGTTTTGGTAGTAACCAAGATTCTAAGTAGTCGTGTTCTTTCATTATATATGTCTAGGAATTTAATTTTCAAGTAAGCATGTTGTCAAGTATTTTTCCCCCATTAGTGTAGGTTCTTAGAAAAGTTGTGATCCTGAAATTTGTTGGTCATGTCAGAACACTCTAAATTCAGTTGCTGGATGTAATTTTTTTCTTGGGTCAATGATATTGTGGGATATAATTCGTGTTTATTTATTTCTAATGTTGTTGCCTGGCATCTAATCATGGTATATGGATGGAGCTTGTTGATCTGTGTTTCTGATTTCTAAAATGCTTTTGCTATCATCAATCAGAGAGACAGACAAAAGAACTGATGCTGCCTCGAATGTTACGTCCAGGTCATTAGATACCGAAGAGTGATATTATGCTTTACCCTCTAACAGTAGCTGAATGGCTCACCCCAGCTGCCATTGTTGTTTCAGCACACTTCAGTAACATAGCATTTATATTAAACACTTCATCAAAAGGTTTTAACATACTGTCCAAATTCCTGTTCTATTTCAAAATTTTCAATAGAATGTTGTAGTTTCGCAGCATATGTTGTGCAATTGGTTGTCTCGGTCCACAATTAAAGAGCGAAGAGTGCCATGAAAACCCTAATTCCGAGTGTATACTATTTTTGCATCAGAAACAACACTCTTTTGCCATCTCAAAAGCCAGAGGATTTTTGAAAGTTAGAATAGCTGGCTTCTTGCAGATTGAAGATGAGAAGAAATATGCAGCAAATCCGTTGGCATTCTTTATTCCTGAAACTGCAGCAACAGCCTGCTGCTTCTGTAGCTTCTCATCATCTCATGGCATTCAATAAGCTACATCGTTTACAAGCACCTTAATTTGTGTATCCAATTTCAGTTCATTCCGGCCCCTTTCCATGGGAATCCATTTTTACTTTGCAGGACAACGTATTATGCTATCAGTTTTTTCTCACTCCCCTCCCCCCCTTCCCTCCCTCTAATTTATGCTTGGTATGAGAGCGCTATCCATTCTGAATTTAACTTAGCTTCGAGTAACAAATATAAATTGATTATGTAAAGTGTAGCGTAGCTTAAAGGCGGAAGATGATTGTAAATTGGATCTAATTGCTTGATTTTTAATCCCTCTACGGTAGAATGAGAGGATGAGTTCCATCTTTCAAAGCATATGGTGGTTCAAAGAACACTCTGTATCTGTAAGACTTTTGGATGGATGTCTATGCCTAGATAATTATCATAGGGGTTTAAGTATTGGAGATGTCTGGATAACAAATGAACACGGAAATGAAGAATCATGGACCAATTTGTTAAGACTTCGGGAGGCAAATGTATGATCTACGTACATATTAAAAGGCAACCAGAAGTTGTACGGCTCAATTCACTCGATAATACACGCCTCTCTTCATTTTTATGTAGTAATTGAAAACCTCCACGGGTGCACGTGACTGACTAATTGTCATATGGTTTTAACACCCAAGTGGCCTCATGGGGTTTTGGAAAGCTCATGGGAACCACCTCGTCCTCTTTCCTTTTAGAGTTCGGAATAGTTGAAAATTATCCAGTATTGAAGGCTATGTCATGTGGAGGGTATTTTCCGAGTCATAAAAGATGGTTTGGAACCATAAAAAGCCTGCTAATGGGTTTATAAAGTCCCAAAAATGCATTTCATTGAATTATTTGAGTTGATCCAAGAGTTGCAAGAAACGGTACTGATCTGATACTTTAGTAGCATTACCCATCTTATAGGCAAATTGATTTCCAAATTTTGGAAGTATTGGCTCCTTACAATTAGAAGATCCCGCATGTTGCTGCATAATGTTACTGTTTCCTTGTTTGCCAGTATCTCAAGTTTTTATAGGAGAAAGCAGAGGAGAGCACGAGAATTAACAAACAAACTTAAGTTCTAATTGCCCAAGTTGCCAAAATTTTGATGTCTCATACTAAATATGTATGATATTACACTCAGAGTAGGAACCTAATGAGATAACTTTGTGGCTAGAAAAGATCAATCAGCTCTAAGCCTCTAAGATGATTTTGACTTTGATTTTGATTTGGATGAGAATGATGATCCCTTCTTTGACGCTCCTTTGTACGGTGATTTCTTGAAAGATTTTTTCTTTGCGTCCAACTTGCTCGAGGATGATCCCTTGTCTCGTTTATTCTTCTGCTGCTTCTTCTCATTCTGCAAATTAATGTTTCTAACAGCCTGTACATGTATGAAAAACCAAGTCAATACTAATTCTTAGTTAAATGACGTATCCTACTTAGCATTGATTGCGAATTCATAACATACCCTGTTGACATTAAGTGAGTCATGAGAATGCTTTGACATAAGCTTGTTCAAAATCTTATCAGTTTGTTCTCTTTCCTGTGAGCCCATACCCTTTCCTTGGGCGACAGGTAGAAACTGAAAGAACAGCAAATTAAAGGGCAATGAGCCAATGACATAATGAAGATATGAATTTAAGGAATTTGAAAAGAATATTAACAAAGAGAACTACGGAGAGACAAACCTTCCTATGTTTCCCTTTGCTTTTTAAAGGCTTTTCTCCAGGTAACTTTTTGTCAAATTTCCCGATACTAGCTGTAGAAGTTGCTGCAGCACCAGCAATCTCCTCAAGTTCATTCTTGGTGAGTTTCTTTGGAGCTGCCTGACTTCCACTTATGGGCAATGCTGTAGCAGCTAGTTGAACATGGCTGGAAAAAAATTCACTATAAGCATCTTCTTTCTAAAGGTACTAAAGATAAGACGCACCTTGCAAATAGTGTCAAGCAGAAACCAAAATTCGAAAGGTAGTGTAGGAGGTAAAGATTTCACTTAAAGATAAAAATTGCCAAGGGCTCTTCTACTATAGAAAGAGTCCTACACTTCACAAATAAACCCATTGTATTCTCTACAAAGCAACAATGTAATTAAACGTAAACACTGAGTTAAGCTCAGCAATGAGAATTCCAATAGTCTGCACATGTTGCAATCTGTTCCAGACTAGAAAAAAAAAGACAGAAACATAATTTTTTTTTTTTTTTTTTTTTTTTTTTTTAACATACGGAGTTTTAGATTACAGCTGGAGGACGTTAAACATGAACTAAGATGTCTGGTCAATCACAAAGTTCAAGCAGATACTATTTATATACTGTCAGACCATAAACTCTGCTCCACAAAAGTGAGTGAGTGGGAACTGAAAAAAAGATCAACTGTAATACTTGGACTCATTCCAGAAGGATACTTTTGAACATTTGTCTACTGTAATACTTAGACAGATCTTGTTCCTAGGAAGGAAACAGACACAGCAAGTATAAGATCAAAGGAATGTACCTCGGCAGGGCACCACTCTTTGCTGCTTCTTTTAGATTCTTCACACGATTCTTCTGGTTATTATCTACTCGCTGCTTCTTCTCAGCTTTTCGCTTTGCAAAAGGATCCACTCCAGGCTCTGCAATTAGACAAGACACATCAATGGTCACAGGACACGCAGATTTTCAAGGCATCCAAAAAATAATTGCATGTTTCACATCAGTTATCACAGACAATTTAATGAATAAAACAAAAGCATATCCAGAAAAAGTGCAACATCAGTAGGCTTGCAATATACCATCATTTGGCTTGGCATCAATGATGGGCACATCATCTGCATCATTTGCACGATCATACCCATAGGTGCGCTTCCAATCACCAGTCCTTTCATCATATGCAATTTTATCTTTCTTGCGCTTCTTTATGCCTGAAACATTGTTGCAGATCAAGGTAAATTAAGTGATGCTAAGTCATGAAAGAATCCCAATGAATTAATTATAAATAAACTCTTTAATTTACCCTTCTTCTGTGCAAACGCCTCCCACTTTGTTGGAGGCTTTGGTCTTGGGAGCTGAACAAAAAAATGACATATTCTTAGTCAGGGTATAATATAACATTTGAACTGCAGTTTATACCAATCACATACTTAGGGGCCGTTTGGTTCGCAGTAATAATCAAAGGGTATGGTATTCCATGGGAATCATTCCCTTTGTTTTTTTTTTTTTTTCATTTCTATCATTCCCTTTCCTATTTGATTACCCAAAAACCTTCTACTCCCATTCCCCACCCCCCTAGCCTTTCCCATTCCCTTTCCCCAACCACCACCGTACCCACATCAGCCACCCTCACCCACTTCTCGCCGGAACGTCGCCGCCCCTCACCGGAATGTCGCCGTCATGCCCCGACCCTCGCAGCCCCTCACCGGAACCTCGCCGCCCCTACTCTCACCTGAAAATCATTCCCTCACCCACATATAACCTTCCCCCTCACAGTAAAACGGCCGGCCGGCCCTCCCCCACCCTCGAAACCCTAGGCGCTAGGGTTTCGAGGGTGGGGGAGGGCCGGACGACGGGTTTTACGGGGAGTGAGGGATGTTTTCCGGGGGAGGGGAGAGCTGCGCGGCTGCCGGCGAGGGGCAGTGGAGGGCCGGCGAATGGTTAGGGAGGTGTGACGAGCGGTTTGGTGGATGGATAGTGGATGGATGGTGGCCGGAAAAGGTGGAAAGTGAATTAATTGGTGGTTCTGTGGTGGTGGGATTGTTTCCCTTTATTTTTAAAACAAACAACATAAAGAATATAAGGTATTTTCATTCCATTCTTTTCCATTCCCTTTGTGCATTCCATTCGTTTTACCCCGTGCAAACCAAACGGCCCCTTATATTAAGCAAAAGAAAGAGTGATGTTATTGTGAGCACTACCCAATGTTGACCATCATCAATTTAAAACCAAAATATGCCACAAACAAGTTCATTAACATGTAATTCCTAATGCTAAAAGCTGCATCCTAATGGCCTAATGAACAAATCCTCTCTAGCCAGTGGCCACACACAGCTAAGTCTTTCAAAAAGGAGACTCATTTCAGAGAGGTTTGAACAGACTAACTCAATACTTTTGGTAGCATAAGTAATCAATCAATCATTTAAAGCCTTAATCCCATACGTGGTAACATAACTAATAAAACTTAAAAAAGAAGCCAGTTTTTAGAAATCAAGGTCAGGCATACCACATCTCCTGATAAATCCAGGTATCACTAAATACATGATTTCAGATTTCCAAGGGTTAGGTATTTGATACTTATGGTTGCAGCCATATTTTATTCAACAGGTTGTAATAAAAATGTAGCTCTTGAAGGATCATATGGCCACTTCTCATTAAACCAAGAGCAACAACATTTAACTCTGGTTGACAAAACCAGTAAATTAATTTGAT